GAAACAACAGAAAAGTGATAAGATTGTTCCCTGTCAAAGGCGGAAAACCTACAAGACCCAGAAAAACAAGGCAGTCCCTTGAATTCTGGCTCTCACAGGTTTCACGGTAAACATTCATTCCTTTCTCCTCTCAAGAGATAGTGAGACCAATCATCAATGGACAGCAATGTACACGTGGGAAGCAGGAGATAGGGCCGAAGGAAACAGTGCTAATCGAGTAAGAAGTATGGAGTACTCACTATGATATTCAACGGAAATCACATGCATCAAGCAAAATCAAATTTGCATGACCAAGAGCAGGGTTGCAGGTAAACAATATTGTGTAGGTGGGACAGAAGGACAAATAGACAAATGAGATCAGAATTTAGTAACTAAGGAATGAGTGAAAGGTCTGTGTGGGCTGGAGATCCCAGTGTCCAATCACCTGGGTTTATGGTCTTTCAGTCAGCACCACCACCCTGCAGCACCGATGTTACTGCTCACTAAACCACCATGCCCCACGCTAAAGTTCTCAGGCCCATTTGCAGAAGGCAAGGCCATGTGACTCATGCTAGCCAATAGGCTATGAGCAAAAGTGATGTGGGTCTCTTCTGGGCTGAAACATTTAAGAGCTGATGTAAGACCCACCATAGATGCTGAGCAACTGAGAAATGAACTTTCATGGCATTGAACTATTGAGATTTAGAGGGTTTTGGTTAATGAGCATAGTCTCCAAACAAAAACCCAAACTCACTGCCACTGAGTCGATTCCAACTCATAGTGACCCCCCTCCTCTGGGTTTCCAAGGCAGTAAATCTTTATGGAAGTAGATTTCTCAGTCTTCTTTCCATGGAGTGGCTGGTGGGTTTGAACTGCCAGCCTTCTGCTTAGCAGTCAAATGCCTTAGGCACTACGCCACCAGAGCTCCTTGAGCACAGCCTAGTGTAACCCGATTCCCTCTGATACCTGGGGAGTCTCAGCTAGGCAGGTCTCTGGTCTTAGGACCCTCATAAGGTCTCACTGCTGGTTCACTGACAGCACTGGGATTGGGACAGTGTCAGTCAATTTAGGCAGATACATAAAGACTAATTTCACTGCTGAATAAAATTCTCAGAAAATCCAACCAAACATAAACTATTATTTGCAAATGATTTAAGATCAACAGTTAAATCCAAGAGTTGATTATTTCATAAAATCCAGTTTCATTTTCCTACTTTGTTACGTATGTCAAGGAGCCCTGGGGGCACTATGGTTAAAGCACTGGGTGGACTAACCAAAAGATTAGCAGTTCAAACCCATCAGCTGCTCCACGGAAGTAAGATGAGGCAGTCTGTTTCCACAAGATTTATAGCCTTGGAAATCCTCTGGGGGCAGTTCTACTCTGTCCTATAGAGTGCCAGAAGAACCAATAAGATTCTCCTTGGAAGCAAGAGTGGCCAGACTTCGTCTCACCCACTTGGTCATGTTGTCAGAAGGACCCATTCCCTGGAGAAAGATATCATGCATAGTAAACTGGAGGGTCAGCGAAAAAGGGGAAGGCCCTCAATGAGATGGATTGACACAGTGGCTGCAATGATGGGCTCAGGTATAGCAAGGATTGTGTGGCTGGCATAGGACTGGGCAGTGTTTCATTCTGTTTAACACAGGGTCGCTACGAGTTGGAGCCAACTCGCTGGCACCGAACAACAACAGAGTTGGTTTATTTTTTTTGGTTTACTTATGTCATAACTTGTCCACCTCAGAGGGCTATTATGGGACTGAAGTGA